AAGCAAAAGCTTGACAGTATACAAGGGAGGACACCTGAAAAACAAGAGTTTATTTATTAAAAATTGTGTACTTATTCTTACGTATTTAAATTTCAGGCATCTTCAAAGTGCTCTCCATTGGATGCAATACACCTATCAAGACACCTTTTCCACTGCTCAAAACAGTTTTTGAAGTCATCAGTGTCGATGCCTTTTAGTGCTTCTACCGTTTTTGTTTCACCTCTTCCACATTGGCAAAATGTTTCCCTTTGAGAACATGTTTTGTTTAAATCCGGAGAAACAAAAAAAGTTGCTCTGGGTGAGATTGGGTGAATAGGATTAGTGGGGCATGGGGATCATGCTGTTTTTGGCTGCTGAACACTTAGTGCCGTGTGGGCAGGTTATTTCTGTAAATCACCCATCATGAAATGGGCCAATGGGTTAAAACAATCTCCAAAGAAATATTCACTGAAGCTAAACGCAGCCTCTTAACACAATGCTTGCTGGTACACTGATATCAATGAGTTCCTAGAACAACTTACCTAGTGGGGGAGTCTGGTACTACAAGGGTCCCACCCTCCAAAAGATAATTCCATTTTGACGGTACCCCCTTATATTTATCGATAATAATGAAAACAACATTTTAATTAATACATCTATTAAAATTATATTAATAAGTACAGTCATATTACATGATATATTGACTTTTGCCGCAGAAACTAGTTATATGCTTACCAAAGCCAATGTGTTTTGGGGGAGCTGCAGACACCATAAATCAGCTTAAATACATTTTCCAACATTCTTTACTTCTAAGCATTGCTATGCAGATGAGTATTCATTCGTGAATTATAAGTGGAAATAATGTACACTTCTCCCAAGCCTGGCCCAAATAATCTTCCCTATGTGATCCTCTCCTGTTTTTTATAATCACTGGTCAGATGATCTTGTGTCTACCTGTGTGACCTCTGACAAGTTGGGGGACAGTAGAGTCACTGGATAGCAGGAGAAGGTTGCCTTCCAAACACACATAGGGGCTGCGCATAAGTCAAAAGTAATCACCAGTAGATATGATGTACTGGAATTATGGGTACTGCTTGTTAAAGCAGTTAGGGTAAGAAGAGTGGTGTCATTATTGGGCACCCATTGAAATGTCAACTTCTAATGGTGTAGCCAGGTGGACTTGGATTTTCTTGGACTTCAGAATTACTTGGAAGATGGCTATGCTCTAAATAACAAGGCAGTCATAGAAGTGTTTCAAACAAGGGTACTGTGATCCAATCTAATGTTTTAGAAATATTCCCCTGTTGGTGGCAGGAAAATGAGTTCAAACAGGTTAACAGTGGTGGTGAAGAAACCTAGACGGAGACGGCAAAGTAAGAGGTAATGATGACTCTGTCTGGGGATGTAGCAGAGATGGAAAAGAATGAAGTGAGATACAGTTTGGAGATAGAATTAAAAAGATACAGTAAATGTTTATAGTCACTTCTATGGAATACTTTATTTAAGCTCCAGAAATGGCTATAAGAGGCAATGTTTCAAAATTAGTCTTGAGCTCAGAATGGCACTAATATTCAATCATGCTCCTATTTTTATTAAGTATCTTCTAGAACCCTCTCTCGTATGCAGACTAGCTCTCACATGGCATATCTTTTTAAAAGATAAGATATCTGTGTAGAATTTTAGCTACACACGCCTGGAAATTCTAATCTTCTATTTTCCCCAAATCAGAAAGATATTTTGAGGTGTTTAAAATAAGCTTTCAATGTAAACCATAAAAAAGTTCCACAATGCCTGTGTCTCTATAAATATTTATCTATAAATATTTATAAAAGAACATTATACTTTATAAACTTCTAGGCACATTGTTATGATCACAAAAGAGAGTTTTCTTAATAAAACCCATAAAAAAAAATCAAGGAAAAACACGGGTTTCATCTTGAAACTAATTTTAAAATGTTAACAAGTACTCTTTTTTTAAAAAAACATTTTTTTTATTTTAAAATTGTGGGCTACAGTTAAGGGTTAGGTATACAAATATTCATTGTTCAGGCACCCTTGTTGATAAGGGGTATTCTCCCGTCCCCAGATAGACAAAGGATCCCTTCCATTGTGGAAAGAATGACTCTGATTATTAAAGTGAGGTGTCATAATTATTTGTAATTGATGTTACTTACATAATATCTGATCCTCAGACCATGAAACTTTTATATAAATGATCATTTTGACACACTCAGAATTTATAATCTAATTCCAAGTCAGTACATACAGACTTACAAAGGAAAAGTTGAATTGATATTAAATTCTGCATAGAAATAGCATTTTGGATACAATTGCCTCTACTGTGTCTTGTCTTGGTTTAATTTTAAATACTTATTTTACAATTAAATTCTTAATTTTTTCTTCTTTAAATTTTAGTGATTTAAGAATTATTTCCTTCTAAAAGCCCACTAGACTTTCGAATACATTTTTAAAAGTCTAGGTCTATTAAATATGTCTATTTCCATCTTTAACAATTGCTAATCTTTCCATCAGCAGCTCTTAGTCAGGCATGTATTTTCTTCTAACAGTTATAGGCATCTACAAAAGAATTATACTTGTATTCAAACATTTTTATAAGTGAAGAACTGCAGTAAATGCAAAGGTTATTATTCAGAATTTTTGAGTATTAAAAGAATAAGAAAGGATAATTTATAAAAAGTTTTAAAGGATGTTCCACAATACACCTTTTTCTGATTGTCAATCAACTGTATGGGAACTTTAAATTCCTTGCACTTATAGTTTACAATTCTCTCTCTCTCTCTCTCTCTCTCTCTCTCTCTCTCTCTGTCATTTTCTTTTGAATCAGGGAATACAAGTGCATGTTTGTTACATGGACATATTTATGCATTGATGAGGATTGGATCTAAGGTAGCCCACTGTCTAGATAGTGAACATTGTACCCAATAGGAAATTTCTGCAGCTTAACCCCCTTTGTCACCTGCCCCCTTGGTGGTGTCTCTAATGTCTATTATTTCCATTGTTGTGGCCATTTAGCATATAAGTGAGAAGATGTGATGTCTAGTTTTCTGTTTCTGAGTTAATTCACTTGGAATCATTCTACTCAGCCCTGTCCATGTTGTGGCAAAGGACATGATTTCATTCCTTTTAGGGGTATGTTGTATTCCAAGGTGTACACAAACATTTTCTTTATCCAATCAGTCATGGGTGGACACTTAAGGTTGCGCCATAATTTTACTACACAATGCTATTTCTAAATGTAGCATAGCATCAATATAAAAAATAATTAAACAAAGAATAGATAATTTCATGTGACTAAATGTTATTTTTCCAGTTTTTAAACATGTGATAATATCTTATAAAATAATTTAAGTATATATTGCTCCAAAAATTTAAGAATATCAAAAATTTCTTGTTAGAAGATAGAAAAAATATTTTTAAAGTATTCTCATATGAATAATTCAATATTTTTATCTTATCGGTATTTATAACTTTTCATTGTCTACAAACATTTTCACATTCATTGTTCAACTCTGTAGTTCATTTGATTAAACAGTCAAAAATTAATATGTAAATTTTCTACAATTTTGAGGTCCCTTCTGTTCTGAAAACCCTACCAGCATATTATCTAATAAATACATCTTATATATTAGTATACATTTCCATATGATCATCAAATACAAACCCAATTTAAACTGTATAATGCCACATTCTCTTTTTTTCCCCTCTCACTAATGTAACTTTGCTAAGGAATTTAGCTTGGACATTTTCAGATTTGTTACAAAAATCATCTTTGAACAGAAAACATTAAACATTTTCAAAAAAGAATATTGCTTTGTAAATCAACTCAAAAGCCTGACTTTCACTCAAAGCACTTGCTACATAAATGTTACTTTTAAAAGTTTATAAAACTGATAACATTAACAAGTCTGTACTGCACACTAGTGGCAAGAGGTTATAAATACATGTTGCTTTGTTTTGTTTTGTTTTACCTAAATTTAAGACGAATTCCTCCCTAAATGTTAGCTTTTCAGTCAAATTTAGAACCCATTATATTATAGAGCGTATACACATGCACTTTAAACATAACATGATTTTTGTATTGTGACCGGTTTCTCTAGGATATATTAATGTATTGTGAATGTCACACATAAAGACAGATACCTGTGCATATAAATACTATGAATCTCTATATCCATGTATATGTGTATGTATATATCATCAATATGCATGCACACACACATGTATATAAATGTGTATAATATACATTGTGCAAATATCCACTAAATGTCAACTCATGTGAAAGTATTTAGTCATTTTTCTCATTATTTTTCTTTTCTCTGCTCATTACTCTTTCTCTCATACTTATTTAGTGCAATGCTTTAGTACACATATGAGCACTATGTACAATTAAATCTATTTAAATACTTAATATTAATTAACCATTGAACAAATAAGAAGGGTTCAGGATGGCATTTTATTGATAAAACTCCAAAAGAAAAGTGTAAGAGCAAGTGACAGATCCTGAAAAACTATGTCAGTATGAAAAGAACCTAAATACACTTGAGATAAATTGACATTTTCAGATTGCTTCATGAAAGAATAAGATAAAATGTTTAGGATAGGTGGTAATGATGCCATAAGATATCTTCAGCTACTCCCTCAAATGTTCCTATAATGGATAATTTATTGTGTCACATAGCAGATCATGAAACAATTGACTGTCTATATGTATGTCAAAACATAATTTGTAGAGTTTAATATATGCAATATGATTTTTGAAAAGAAATAAAGACCAACATAAAACTGCAAAATTCATTATTTATAACAATATTTCTTATAGCCTGAATTTGACTAAGCCCACTATCGACAAATGGCTTCAAATATTCCTCTTATAAAGAAAATTTAATTCTTTTACCTCTCTTCCTCTTGTTTGTTGAGACATTTGCCTTCTGCCCACTTATATATCCAAAAGAAAGAACACTTTGGGTTTAATTTCGTCATTTATATTATATGTCTCATACCTCTTTCACATTTGGGGGCTTCAATTCTTTCAATTCTTCATACTTCCATTTCCATAGAGACAAAGCTGACTCCAGTCGTTCTACTTCTTTTTCCAAAGCTGTGCGCATTCTAAATCATAGAAGGACAAAATTATAGAACTTCGCAGCAACTTGAATGGACATAGAGTCTATAATACTGAGTGATCTATCACAGAAACAAAGAACTGAGTACCATATGTTCTCACTCATAAGCGGACCCTGAACAATTATCATAGCACTACAAGAAAGGGATTGGCAGTAGTGGAAAACTGTCGGGGGCGGGGAGAGGTGCACACGTCATCATTACCTGTACAATGATCATTTGTATACCTAACCCTGAACCGTACACCTTTAAAATAAAAAACATTAAATAACTAAAAGAAAGAAAAATAAACTTTAATTTTAAAATAATTTTCAGTTTGCATTGATTTTTCCATTTTTCTAATTTTTATATACTTGTATGTGATCAATGTAATGAGAGAAAATAATTTCTAGTTTATTAAAATTATAAATATATTTTTTAAAAAGGCCAAGCATGGTGACTCAAACTGTAATCACAGCACTTTGGGAGATTGAGGCGAGAGAATTGTCTGAGGCCAAGGGTTCGAGACCAGCCTGGGAATCTTGGTGAGATCTCGTCTCTTCAATAAATCAAAAAATAAGCCGGACATAGTTGTACACACCTGTAGTTCCAGCTCTTGGAAGGTTGAGGTGAAAGTATTGACTAAGCCCAGAAGGTTGAGGCTGCAATGGCTGTGAGCGTGCCAGCTGGGGCAACAGAGTGAGACTTCAACTCAAAATAAAAAATAATATAAAAAATTATAAATATTGAAGAAAGTTTCTTTTAGTCTGACATTTAGCTTTATAATAGATTAAATAGTTTTAATTTGACTTTGCCAATATTAAGTTTCTGCCTGCTTTCTTCTTTAGGAAGGAGCTAAAAAACCCGGAATTTATTTATTAAAAAATTGTGTATTTATCCTTACATATTTAAACTTTAAGTTCCTACAAAGTACTCTCCATTAGATGCAATACACTAATGAGATGGCTTTTCCACTGGTCAGAACAGTTTTTGAACTTGTCAAGTTTTGATGTCGTTTAGTGCCCCTGCTTTTTTTTTTTTTTTTCACCTTTTCCCATTGAGGACATTTTTTCATCTGTGGAAACAAACAAGTTGCTCAGGATGCGATCTCAGGTGAGTAGGAAAGGCAGGGACAGGTCATGCTGTTTTTGGTCAAAAACTGCTGAACAGTCAGCATGGTGTTAACAGGTACTCTGTAAATCACCCATCATAAGATGGGGAAATGAGTTGAAAATTTCGACAAAAAAAAATTAACTGAAGTCCAATGCAGCCTCTCACAACAACGCTAGCTGGTACGCTGATGCCAGTGCATTCCTAGAACACTTACCTAGCAAAGGAAACCTGTGCTATAAGAGGCCCACCTTTCAGAAGATAATTCCAGTTTTATGGGGGTCCCCTCTTGTATATTTTATGCATTTCTCTCATTTTCTTTTATTCATCTTCTTTCCTTACATAGGAGGATGTATATATTTCTAATTTTTGAATGTGCCCAATTTTGTTGTAATAAAGTATTTTCGCTGGACTCTTTATTTAAATTATTTAAAATAATTTAAATTAATTTCTCTATTTGTAGAACTAGCAACAGAACTAGGAATAAAATTTGATCCTTTACAATCTCAACCATCAATTTTTATTTATTTGCCCACAATATCTGTTAAAGTGAGTCATTGATCATTGTTTTATTTCTAGTTGTAATTAGCATGCCATCGACTCTTGCCATTAGCCTGTTCTTATCTGTGTGGTAGATTAGATTACTTTTTAAAAATACTCATTCTTTTTTCTCTATTTCTATGGACAGAGTCAATTTCCTCATCTTTTAATTCTAGACTTTCACAGTGGGATACAAGCTGATATGACAGAAGCAGAAATTTGAAAAGAACTTGTGTGTTTGGGCACCAAGTTAGTAAATTTTGATTATCATGTGATACAGATTTTGTGATATCAGTTACAGTATTATTGTATTTATTTATTTATTTATTTATTTTGAGTTGGAGTCTCACTCTGTCACCCAGACTGGAGTGCAGTGGCCGCTCACGGCCACCGCAACCTCGACCTGCTGGGCTCCGGCGATCCTTCTGCCTCAGCCTTCCAAGTAGCCGGAATTACAGGCATGTGCTACCACGCCCGGCTGATTTTTTTTTATTTATTATAGAGATGAGGTCTTGCTGCCCAGGCGAGTCTCGAACCCGCGGACTCAGGCAATCCACTCACCTCAACCTCCCAAAGGTGCGGGATTACAGCCTGAGCCACCGAGCCCGGCTTATTATTGTATTTATAATGAGCTATTATATACACATAAATCTATTTCAGTAATGTTAAATGTCACTAGAAAGATCTTAAAAACATATTCACAGAGCTAAAAAATGCGTGCAGAATCAAAATCGAATACCATTTACATATTTATAAAAACTATGACTCTTCTTGGTAACAGTATTATGGTAATACTTCAAAATAGTATGAGGTTGTAAACATATTTGTTTAATACAATCAAATGGATAAGGAGCCTATTAAAAAGTTGTATAATTATATTTGAAGGAATCAAACCATAAAATTGAAAGAGGATATAAGAGAATTAGTTAGAGCTTAGCTTAAGCTCAAATGATACAGGTTGCAAAAAAAATTAGTGCAAAGCTCCATTTATGGACTAATTCGGATTCCTTTGTTAAGACAATAAATTCATTAAACAAAATTAACAAATAAAAAAGTTCAACATGAAAGTCTAGGTCTTATGAACATTTCATATGACTGTTCATGCCTCCAGATTAACTACCCTAGCCAAAATTTCTGATAGATAAACAAATGTAGTCAGATGAAGACACCCAGGTTGCTTATTATGATATAATTTTTACCCTTTGTGGATGTGTTTGTGAAGTCAAGAAGAATAGAATTAAGTATAAAATAATAAGCAAATCACCAAATATTAATATTTTGTGTAAAATTTAGAAAAATACATCTAAAAACCAATATATAGTGAAATATGTTTCATATATGACATTCAAATATTTTTAATTTGGGAATGAAAATGTATATTAGAAAACTTAAAACATGTTGATATTGACTTAGATTTGTGTAAGTTGAAAAGTATAATAAAGTTGTACTTAGTTTGTAACTTTATTGGAATATTTGAGATAAGAATCGCCAACTTTATCATATTATTTAACATATTAGATCTATTTGAGAACTTGGAAATGTTTTGTCAGTAACTGAAAATCTTAAAAATCAAACAGAGGCCTGGTGCGGTAGCTCAAGCTTGTTATCCCAGCACTTTGGGAGGCCAAGGTGAGAGGATTACCTGAGCGCATGGGTTCAAGAACAGCCTGAGCAATTTGGTGAGACCTCATCTCTACGCTAAATAAAAATGTTTTAAAAATTAGCAGGGGTGGTTGTGTGTGCCTGTAGTTCTGACAACTTGGAAGGCTGAGGCGGAAGGATGGCACGAGCCCAGCAGGTCGACGCTGTGGTGACTGTGATCGGGCCACTACTGCACTCCAGCCTGGGCCATGGAGTGAGACTCCAACTCAAATAATAATAATAATAAATAAATAAATAGAATATGCTTAATTAATTACATAATTTTATTAAAGGTTTGAATTGACTACATTTGTGCAATAGCACATACACTGATAATCTTTTCCTTAAAATTTTGAGAAATATTTTACTTATACATAGAATAACAGAAAAATTATACTTGATAATTTTTAAAAATCTAAATTATAAATTTATAAATTCAAAATCATACATGTCGAAAAATCAAAACTCACATTAGTATAAAAATCATTTGTGATTACTGAGGAATAAATGTTGAGCCTCAAAAATATCATCAAAATTATTGGGGTAGCTATTTTTTTCAGGGTTTTATAAGTAGTTAAAGAAGATCATTTGAAGCTATGTATTAAACTTTTAATTTTAGTTATATATAAATAGAGATATAAAGAAATTATTACATCTAGATTATATCTAGACACAGAATAAATATTCAAATCCTGTTTATAAAATAAAAGTAATAGAATTTACTAAAGTAAGTTAAAATGTATAGATAACAATTTGTATTCCTTGTTTAAGGCAAATTAGTAACTTTTCAAAGATAGTAATGTTTACTTCTTTAAGTATACATCTTAAATGAAATAACTAACATTCATTAATTTCCTGAAAGGAAAACATGCATTTTTATTATGTAAAATGTTACAATTTGCTCGGGGGAGTGAGAAGGCAGACAACTTATTAAAAATTATTTAACGGCAATGTGATCCTTGAGTATTTTTTAGTATAGCCCTATCAAAAAATTCTTTTACTTCAAGCCAAGCATTAAGGATGCTGCACATCTAAATTTATGCAGCAGGGGGCACTCTACAAATTCTCAAATTTTCTGGTCTAATCGAGCTATACTTTAGAGAGATTTTCAAGATTGATGAATTCTATAGTAGGATTTAAAATTAAAATGAATACTATTTTCATGCTATTTAAACTACAAGAAAGCAAAGAAAATATCTAAAGTATATCACATTTTATATACACATTCTTTATGAGGACAAAATTAAGAAGATAAAGTTCAGCAAAAAATATAGTATCTTTAATATGATGATAAAAGTTTTTTAAAGTTTTATTGCTAAAATATATAATATTCCAGGATCTAAAAGGTAAACTGTGAGCCAAAGTTATTTTTATATAAGAATGTGATTACATCTCTTTGCAATTTTTAAATATTTTGTTAATTGTCCTGATCCCATGATAAATAAAGTTTGCATTTCTAGACAAGAATATTACTCAAATATCTCTCAAGGGTAAATAGTCCTAAAATAGTAATATCTAGGGTTAAATATGAATAATTTTTGAACGTGAAAAATTTTATTCAATTGCCATTTTCTGAAAGGGTCTCTTAATATCAAAATGTTACTGAATAAAATAACTGTCCTGCAATAACATGTAGATATCCATTTTATAACAGTCCAAAACTGAGAGTTAGTATTAAACTGTTAACAATAAAAGTTTTTACAAATATACATTTAATAAGCAACATATGTGTCATTTTGCAATTGCACTTCCAACTATTTATAATTACATCAATCAACATTAGGTGTTTTTAGTTGCAAACCGTCAAAGCCATACAAAGCTAATTTCATTAGAAAAGAGATATATTTAAAGTATGATGTTAAATTCAGCGATCTCCAGGAGGGCCATAGAACGAGGCTTGGAGGCAACGCAGCCAGGGACAAGGGCCCCTCTTATGCCACTAAACTGGTGCTACAAAGAACTGCCTGTCTGTTGTTTGTATACTCTCCTGGTATCAATTATGTACCTGGCAAGCAAATATATTCAAAATAGCCAATTTGAGCGGAAAAGGATATTAATACCTCAAAAAAAAATCTAAGAGATCTCTAGAAAATACATGCAGCTAGAAGTGGCTATAATAAAGTGATAGAAATCTTCCCATGAGCACAACATTATGACCACCATCAAGGTACAGACATCACTACAAGACTTCAGTGTACCACGAATGTGAGATAATAGGTAGTACCACTAGGAACCAGAGGCCACTGCTGCCTCGAGAAATAAGATGTAACTACTGGGGCAACTTTCTCCTCACAGATTCTGTTTGCTTTCTGCTTGCTTGGAGCATTTGCTTGGCTTAAGAGTCTAGGTGGTGACTTTTTTATGGCTGTGTAGTATTCCATCGTGTATATGTACCACATTTTTAAAATCCATTCCTCTTTTGATGGACAGCATGGTTGATTCCAGGTTCTCACTATTGTGAACTATGCTATGATAGACTTAACGTGTGCAGGTACCTTTTTGATAGAATGATTTGAGTTCTTCAGGGTATATTCCCAGTAAGGGGATTGCGGGGTCATATGGGAGGTCGATATTTAGAACTTTTAGGAATCGCCACACTGTTTTCTGTCTGTCTGGGGACGAGGAGACACCCTTTATCAACAAGGGTGCCTGAACGAAACATATTTGTATACCTAACCCTTAACTGTACCCCACAATATCAAAATAAAAAATATTGATTAATAAAAAAAAGAGTCTAGGTGGTGACATCTGACTAGCTATTGCTAGGTCAAGTGTCAGCATCCTCATTGCAAGGGAGACTGTGGCAGAGACTTACTATCATTTTCATAATTATGCAGAGATGTAAACTCTGTTTCATGAGCTAGAGGGATGTCCAACCATGAAATAGATGCTGGACCGTCAAAACACGTTCATCAAAATATTTTATCTCACAGTTTCTCATATCTAATATTTGGTATTGCCAAAGCTCCTCTTTCTAAATTTAAAGTATATTTAGCTCTATAAAAGGATAAGGTTTCCCAACCTTACTCCCCAAGTTTTCTATCTGAGAAGACTTTATCTAAGTCATCAGAAATGTATACATTCTCAGTATATGAGAAGCTTTCATAGACTGGATAATTATCCATAAAACTGAACAGTACTCAGAATACAAATAAAATAATAAGGTTTAGTATATTTGATGAGAAGGTTCCAGCCAGACAGTGGATAAAACGAGTCCCAGGGTTTCCTGAGCTGATTTCTGAGCATGAGTCGAGAAAATGTCCCCACTAGATGGGAACATGGAAAAAAATAAGTTCACATCTTCTCAATTCAAACCACCCACTCGCTGAGATTCCAGGAGGGAGAATTTAAAAGATTTATAGCAATAACATATTCCATATTCTTGGGAAACATTATCTTGTGATAGAAAAATAACTACAATTGCCTCATGTGAATTGCATGCAAATGTTGATTCATGGACACGGGCACCATGATTCATAGCATCTGTAGACTGTTTCTTAAAGAGGAGAGTAGACAGAGCCAAATCAAAGCTCCCTTTCTTCTCGTATTCTTTGACTCCCTTATGGTTTATATACTGAAACTTTTGAGAACTAGAGACTTAACTTACTCTGAGGATTATTCCCAGAAAGTCAAAAATATATGCTGAGTATATGTGTGGAGCACGCATGCAAAGATAGTATATAGGTATCACTCAAACTGCAGCTTAGAATAGAAAAGTTTGTATCTAGGAAAAAGCAGCTTCACATTTTTCCTGTGACACTAATCAGTGAGCTAACATTGTGAGAGAGTTTGAGAAAAGTCCATCATGACCAGAATGTTGTCTTTCAGGAACCAAAAGCAGAGAGGTTAGAACTTAAGTGAGATTTGTAGGTCCAGCTAAAATTAGTCAATAATATGTGTGCGAGTCTAAATCAACTTTATTCTCTTTTCCGTTAATGTTGATTGTCTCTATTAGGAATTTACACTTGATGGCCGAATAACAAGTATTCTGTACACAGATTTTAGATGATCACAATCTATTAAAATGGTGAAGTATAGACAAAGAATCTGAAAAAGGTAGTTGGTGGCACAAGTAGATTTCAAAGGGACTAATGAGAAATTTCTGACTGGCAGAAAACAAATGACAGACTAAGAACTTAAAGCACTTATCAAAGGGATACATATTAATCCCTTTTTCAGTCCACTTAAACCAGAGAAATTAAAATCATGATAAAATATGTATAGTCATATTTATATATCATGTATATATATTTATATATATCCCTATCTGCCCATTGTGTTTTATAACTAAAGAAATAATTAATTATTTTTAGGGTTTGGGACCACATTTTAAAGTGCATCAAATATTTCACATTGTGCTAATAAATTTATATAAGCTGATCACAAAGAAATAATAAAACAAAAGAAAAAAACTATTGAGTAATTCATATTACCAGCTTCACATTCCAGGACCATTATTTGTGTTTAATCTTTGCAAGAATTCTGTGAGGAAGGCTATGACAGATTGTATTTTGCAAAGATCATTGTCACCATGATCACATTCTACACAACCTTATGATAAAAGAATTTTGACAATTCTCTTATTGAAAGGGCCCCTCTTTCTTGAACTTTAGTGAACCTTTGAGACTACCACCACAAATAAGTGGGTCAGAAGTGATCCTATGTGACTTTTTTTTCCTTTTCTTTTTTTTAGATAGGATCTCACTCTGTCACCTAGGCTGGAGGACAGTGGCATGATCATAGCTCACTGCAATCTTGACCTGGGCTTAAGTGATCCTCCCACCTCAGTCTCCTGAGTAGCTAGGACCACAGGGGCACACCACCATATCTGACTAATTTATCTTATTTATATTTTTGCAGAGACAAAGTCTCATTATGTTGCTCAGCCTCAAATGATATTTCTGCTTTAGCCTTGACCTCCCAAAATGCCAGGATTAAAAGTCCGAGCCACAGCACACCTCCACTATGTGACTTTTAAGGCATGATCATTAAAATGCCGTGTGTTTCTATCTATTTTCACTTGAAAACTAACCACTATGCAGTGAGAAAGCCAAGCAGCCACATGAATAGACCACATGCAGGTGTTCCAGCTGAGGCCCAGATGAGAACCAAGATGCACTGCCAGATGAATGAGTCAAGCTTCCGATAATTCCAGCCCCAGCCTCGGAGCCATCTCACCTGATGCCACATATGAGAGAGAATCTGCCCATGCCAAGCCATATTCAAGATTCATGAACAAAATACGTGGTTGTAGTTTTAATAACCATTGTGTGGGTGTTTGTTTCAAAATAATAGATAACTGGAACATAACGTCACTACCCCTATTTTTACAAAGAGGCAACATCTGATATCACATAGCTAGAAGCTAGAATATGTCAGAACAAATACAAATATTCAGGTTACTTAATCACTAGGCTAGTGCCCTATCTTCTGTACCACAATGGTCCAAGTATAAGGCATCTTTTTCTGTAAATAATACCTCACAAAACTGATTGTCCTGTTGCTAATATTCATTCTCATTGACTCATTGAAGTCCAAAAAAGTTGAAAAAATTAGAAAAGACACTGCATATTTTAACCATATACTTGAAGAATTCAGATACAATTAAAGTGACTCTATCAGAGATAATGAGAACATGGTTAGGACAAAGGTCACCTTAAAAGAATAACTACTAATGAGTTATAAATTACTTTTAAAATTCAAAATATGTATATCTGTCAAACTAATTCAGCTCGCTAAAACTTCTTCAATGGCTAATATTGATTTAAATCTTAAAAAGTAATGACCAAACATGGGTTAAACACATTATCAAGTGACCAACACATCAGTCGTAACCATTTTAGTAGATTTTAGTAGACTTAAGGGAGGCAATAGTTAGCACTTACTCTTTTTCCTTCCATAGAACTTTTTGGAATTCATCCAAATGCACTTGCAAAGCTGAAATTTCAGTTACTCCATTTTTCAGAGGCAGATGAATTGCTTGCAGTCCCAGTACAGGTTTCGTTGCACAGTTTTCAGAACCATCATTCTTGAATAAATCAACACAATCTAGATTGGGTTTCATCTCCTCATTTAATCTTAGTGGATCAATAACCACACCTTCTTCCTGAAAAAAAAAATTGGTAAATATTTAAATCTCTCATGTGAAATATCATAGAAAAGCTGGCCTCAGTGGCTCAGCCTGTAATCCCGCACCTTTGGGAGGCTGAGGTGAGTGGATTGCCTGAGTCAGTGGGTTCGAGACCCGCCTGGGCAGCTAGACCTCATCTCTACAATAAATAACAAAATTGGCCGGGTGTGGTAGCAGGCGCCTGTCGTTCCAGCTACTCGGAAGGCTGAGGTGGAAGGATCGCCGGAGCCCAGCAGGTCGAGGCTGCGGTGGCCGGGAGTGGCCACTGCACTCCAGTCTGGGCGACAGAGTGAGACTCCAACTCAAAAAAAAAAAAAAGAAATATCATAGAAAATACATTTTAAGAAGGAAATAAGTGTTACAATACAGAGTCAAATCCATATTTTTATTTCATTATTATTCCCTAAGGGTGTTATATGTTCTAACTAACTTGCGTTCTTTTTCACACTTATTTTTCTTTCAATGTTCTCCCTTATTGTAATAAAGCACACTTCTTAAAAGGTCTGCTTTAACTTTTAGATCGCTTTCTTGTTCTAATCAGAGCTAAAAATAACTGTGCAAAAACTTGAACAGCTGCAATAAATTTTAAATGAGTTAATTAATTCCTCTTTAAAGCTTCTTTTGTCACAAGACACTTGAGAGTTTTCAAAGTAAAGCCAATGATTATTTTTTTAAACATTTTTGGAAAACAAAGTGGAAAAAAAATTCAGGAAGCTTTTGAACATTTTAATAAATTTGTTTATTGCTTTATTTCCCTAGTCAAATCTCCAATATAACTAGATGGGACATTTTAATAAGCATGGCCATCATATCAAAATCTTGTAGCATAATTTCAAAACTTCACAGAATCCATGCTACTGATATTTGTCTATTATTTAAACGCTTTCTGAGTTTTCACTGAAATAAAGTCAATTCAAATAAAATCTCAATGAATAGTCCAGTAAAATCTCAATGGTGCTTCATTTACAGTATTTTATTTTGATAATTAATATAATAAGACGTGTTGTTCTCCACGGAAAACACTGTAGTCAAATATGCAGGAATTTTTATCATTAGGCCTAGGGTTGGCAAAGAAACTTTTCAAAAAAAAAAAAGAAAAGAAAATTCATTAAAGCTTCTTCAATGTTTAATATTTATTTACCTACCATCAGAAAAAATTTCCTAATTTCCTATGTTTTTTCCAAGTATGTATGATTTGTCTTTGATACTAATGATACAAAGATACTTCAGATAAAACCCAATACATTGAGAATTTCCCAGCCTAATACATGTGGAAAGAATCCTTTACTTTCTCAAATGTGGAGTCTAGTGACATATAATAATAATTGAATGATTTCTGGGAACATTATACGAGTTATGTTCCCTCATCCCTATCACTGCATTCCAATACATGTATTAAAATAACTAAATTTTGAAAATATATGTTGCTTTGCCAAAGATATACACAAAGGTACTGGCAGCTTGGATTATCAAGTTAAATAATTTTTTAAAAAATCTAGAAGATCGATTAATTAGAAGTTATTGTGTTAGTGTAATCTTTAAAATTTTTTTCATCTATGATTGAATCTAGGCTATATCTACCATAAATTCTATGCATTATAGACAAGCTTAAAATTTTATATGGGATTATAGAGGTGCAAGATGTTAATTAACAGTATTTAGAGGTGGAAAGAAAGTAGAAAGAAGTAACAGAATAAACTAATACTATGATAAGTGCTTTCATGCACTCCTAAAGTTTCCCAAAGTATGTTCTCTGGGTTGTTTATTGCCAACTATTACAATGTTTAAAACAAAAGTAGAGATGGTGGTAGTTTACAGTTGAATGAGTATATAAACTGGTAGGCCAAATAAAATGTTTTAAAAGTTTCACAGAAGCTCTAAGATTTAAAGTATGCCAACAAATTCCAAGAGTGGGTCATGTGAACCATTTCCTAAAGGTATTTGCCTATGGTACCTATTTTACCAGGAGCAAATTGTAAGACAAGAGTTCCAAACCTTGAGAAATATTCAAACTGCTTTTTGAATCTTTTATAATTTTGACATAATTAGGGTAAAGGGAAAGAAATGTTTCCAAATATTTTATTTTCACGTAAAAAATGCTGGGCTAATATTTGCCATAGATATCAGTAAAATCACCGCCAAGGGTTGAAATGATGATTCCCCAAAATTCATTTGCTGAAGTCCTAACACCCAGTGCCTTAGAAGGTGACAATTATTAGAGACAGGGCCTTTAGAGATAGGATTTATTTAAATTGGGATCATTATGGTGGGCCTGATGATGGGGTCCTCATGAGAAGAGGAAATTAGGACTCAGACATGTATACAGAGAAAAGACAACATGCAGAGAAAATATGGCCACCTATAAGTCTAAGAGAGAGGCATCAGAAGAAACCAACCCTGCTGACAATGTGGTCTCATATTTCTGATTTTCACAACTTAAAAGAATAAATTTATTTTGCTTAAGGCACCCAGATTGTGGTACTTTGTTATGACAGCCTTGGCAGACTAATATAGTCAACACTGAGTTTCTCTTATTTTTCATCACTATGTATGTCATTCAAAAATGCACATCTCTAGACTGCTCTGTGAATTTTTTTTTTTCTTACCGTACTATTTGTTTTTTGCTTTGTAGAGAATTGTCTTTTTATTAGGCACTCTCTGATAGACTCACACATTTGGGAATGACTTTGAAATTGGCCTCTATGTTCACAGGACACTTCTATGAAACCAGGAAGCTTCAGGTTCTGGGTAACTTTAGCTTCCAATGCCTCCTTTTGAGGTGGCAAACTTTGTTTCTTCCTCAGTGCGCTCAATTCTTTCATCACCATCTCTAATTTTATTCTGAGTTGCCTTCCTTCCTCCCTAGCACTGTTCCTTTCAGCTCGAACTTTACTCCATTTTTCCCTCCAATTGGCTGTGCAGTCTGACCACCACCGCATGGTCTTTTCCATCTGGGCAGCTCTGGCCTTGACTTCTTCAAGCTCTCGCAGGCGAAGTTCTTCACCAATATCCCATTCGTTGGTGTTATGTGAGTGAGCACAGAAATTGTGGACTGCATAAGATTGTAGTTCATAAGGTGGGAAGCAAGAATTACAAGTATCCCTGGAAGGTGAGGCAGTTGCTACCGTGTCACAGCGTGTTTTAATCGATGACTGCTGCATCTGGAAGATTTGTGTTTCCTCAATTAATCGATGAATGGAATCTAAATTCATGTTTATATTTAAAGTCCTAAGAAAAGATAAAGGATATAATTACACACTTGAATTTTCCTTGCAATAATTGTAAGAGCATGAGCTACATTTTAAAAAATAGTTAATGAAAAGAATGCATCTTTCCAATATTGCATATTTTTCCAGTTTAACTAAAAATATACAACAATCTATGCATTTGCAATTATCTTCTAAGGAACAGAAATTGCTCATATTTTGCCAAACAAATAAAAATAAAAATACAAGATTCAACTGAAGATGGCATATGACATACAGAATTCATTTCAACACATCCAATTCTATTCAGGTCATATTTATTGTAACATTGTCCAATACAAAATAAAAATTGTAATATTTATCATCCACTAACTACATGATGGTTTGTTTTTTTTCTCTATTAACTAAACCCTGGTTTGATTAGGTGGAATGCAAGATCCATTGATCTCTAGGAGCATAAACCCTATTCCAATCCCAGATCCTGAAGCATGACTAGTCTACACTTGCCATGATCACCTCCCTCTATTGACTATGCACTGGTCTCAAGGCAGACATATGGCCTGGTTCTGGCTGATGACATGTGAGATGAAGCATACTGGCAAAGTTTATCATCCAGAAAAATATAGGAACATTAGAATGGGAAACTCTCTTTCCTCTGCCTTCTTCCTGTTTGAATAAAGACCTCGTTCTGGAAGAAGGTGAGTACAACAGCCATTTTGTAACATTTAAAACGGTGAAACAGAAATTTTTTTTTGTTTTTAAAGCCTGGTTTGATAGTTGAGCTGGTGCATGAAGTCTAGAATGAGTATCTTTTATTTATTTGCTATGAGATAAGTATTACTTATATTTATTTAAGCTATGATGGTTGAGTTTTTTGTTATTTGTAAACAAAAGCATATCTGATGCATGAATTAATTTCCTACTATGGTTAACATTGTATGATCAGGCCTAGTGGCTCATGCCTGTAATCTCAGCACTTTGGGTGGCTGAGTTGGGAGGATTTCTTGAGCCCAGAATTTTGAGACCAGCCTGGGCAACATAGCGAAATCTTGTCTTTACAAAGAAATTTTTTTAATTAGCCGAGTATAGCGGTGTGCACCAGTAGTCCCAGCTACTCAGAAGGCTGTGGAGGTTGAATCACTTGAGCCCAAGCGTTCAAGGTTTTGGTGAACTTTGGTCATTCTACTGCACTCCATTCTGAGCAACAGAGGGAGGCCTCAACTCAAAAAAAAAAAAAAGAAAGAAAAGAAAATTGAAATAAACTCTAAAAATAATGATAATGACAAAGACATGGTTCTTGTCCTCACAGATTTTAAGTCTAGTGGATAAGACAAGCACATAAAAATTTTTAAAATGCGTAATTTACCTATGACAAAAGTATCTATGTATTCAATCCTTTTTAAAGTATATATTATGTGTGAAGTCAGTGTTAAATTCTTAGAGCATGTTCAAGGTGATCTAAGGAGTACTGCTAAAGATAGAACTATATTCTAAAAACAAGGAAGCTTCACAGCATAGATATTTGAATAGAATAGAATAAAATCTACTCTATTGAATAGAGTCCTAACCACTGCAGCTATGTAAAGGAATTAAAATCAGCTTCCATATAAACATCAAAAGACAAATTTGTAAAGGCATACCATTTTTATCAATATGAACACATTACTTTATTCAATAAAACAAAATATGCATACTGAGAATACAGCAAGTAGAATTTTTTATTTAAAATAGTTGCTTTAAAATGTAGGTTAATTTACAAATTAATAAAGTTCCATGGTTGTATATGATTATTCATTTTTATCTCAGATATATTTTCCTGGTGTAAATAATATTAGATGATATTTTATGTACATGACTTCAGTTCCTCTTTTTTTTCATTTGCTTTTATGTAGTTACAGACCATAAACCACCTCCTTATGGCCCATCTATTTAATCAGCTGAATGGGTTTCATTACACCTACTAACTACAAAATAAGCTTTTATTCATTGGGAAAAGAGACTACATAATATTTTTTAAAAGATTAATATTAAAACTATCAAAATAAAAGACTTTATAATGTTAAGGTTAATTAACATTATTAATTTTCAGTTGTAAGAAAAAACTTTTTAACAAGTGTTCTTTAGAGATGCCAAACCAATTCACTCTTTATTTTATACTTGTTTAATAATATGGGTTCATGGTTGTAATTATTTTTGTTGGCATTGGTATGTGTCCAATAACATTTGAATTAGTGCTGATTTGGAGTATTTGTTCCCTTTGTTTACTATAATTCAGAGGGCAATAATAATATAACTGACCAAATTTCAAAGCCAATTTTTTAAAAAAGAATGAAATGAATTCTTAATTAAAAACACACTATATATATTTACATATACAAATATATATACACATATATACACAAACTCACTATTCACTACTTAATATTTCTTTTGGTTGGAAATTCAAAATGAAGACAGATAATTTAATTCAGCATATTAAACTTAAATTTATCCTTGCCAGTTTTCAAAATAAATCAGTATCATAAAATTGTAATGTCTTTAAAATGTCTCATTAACTTTTATTTCACTAGTGTTTTGAAGATTCCATAATTGAATTCTGGTACATTGAGATCTTGCCTACCAATTAACTATGTATTTTTCACATCTGACTAAATAAAAACGAATTGGGCTTAATCATTCAGTCCTTGAACTTGTATAGTATTTCCTGTTTTAAAAATTTTTCTCAAGCAAAAATAGCTTGCTAGAGATGGAGATATTTAAAACACATATGCATTTATTAAAGTATTCATTTTCTCTATACGTATGTGTGCACCTCATGTTTTAGGTAACATGACGGTGAAAGAATTTGCCATGGTCACAAGGTCTTTGATGTATGGGAAAGTATTTTAATGCTGTTGATTCTGGTTTCTTGTACTGATTTTTGCATTGTAAAACACTAGTAAAATCAAGCTACTGTGATTCCTGCAAATATTTTTGAATGTAGTACATAACCAAATAAATAAAAAATAAAGGTCTACAATGTCTGTGTATAATATATATATAAACATAAATATATAAGCATTTATTTCTTGTCAAAGAGGAGCTTAAAGTGCAAACTGGTGGACTCCAGACTCTATTGATTCAAGTCTTACTCTGCCATTTCTTCAAAAAATGATCTGAGACAAATTACTTAAACTGTTTTTTACTCAATATTTTGTTTCTAAAAGGAGACAGAAAAAGAGTGTACCACACTGAGTTCCTGTGACTATTAAATAAGAAATTGCTAGTAGATTGGCTAGGCCAGGATGTCTCATAGGCAAGGCATAAGGTTTTCTCAAAGTTATACAAGTTATTATTATGTCATATAAGCGATTGTACCACTTAACCTTTTCAGTATGTTTCCTTTTCTTTTGTAAGAGAAATGGTTTGGTTTTAAAAAAAGAAAGCACATAAAGAAATATGAAATTAATATACGTGCTGCAATTTTCCTATAATAAAGGTACAGTCTCAATTTCTATATAAAATTAATAGGAATCAGTGGGCTACTCAGTACTATTGTATCTTCATCTTAATGGTAAAGAAACTAGTCATGGAACTTCTAAGTATCCTGCCAACTCTTGCAATTAGAATACAACCCAGTTAGGGAATTAAGGAAATTTGAATCCAGAGCCATATCAAAAATCTTCAGCTCCAAAATATCACCTGTTTTCACTACAGTAAGATAATCTTTTTAGATTATTTCAGAGCTAGATTCATCATTCTTCCATTTTGGATTTCTTATGCTAAAATATCTCCTATTAAATTACATAGGCATTAGTCAATTAATCCCGACACTGCTCTTTGAGTCGACTCGGTCTTCTCATCATAGCTTAAAGGAATTGTAAGGTCTGGGGCCCTGCCATCGCTCTGGCCTTCTCTCTGCTATTCCAACTTCCATGTCCCACACATGAGTCATCTTGGGTGTGTCCATCCCTTGCAGGACCTAACCTTTTTGTTCTCCTCTGAGCAACCTAATTGCTAAATAGGAGCAAATATCCTCTCTCTCCCCATGTCCTCCTTCCCCAGGCTTCTCAGCCTTCAGGTAGCTGCTTATATTTTGTGCTAATACAACCTGAGGTGTAACTCCTCCAGATCTCTTAGAGATCCTTCATCTGAGAGGAATATCTACTGTTGACCTTCTCTGTGAAAGTGAAAGCCATCTCTGTGAAAGCCATCCAGAATGTTGTTAATAACCATTAACAATAAATCAAACTAATAATCATAAACTTTAGTCTTTGAAAGAAGCAAACAGTGTATTGTGATCTAAAACATACCTATCTATTTAGCAAAGTCTTTCCCAAGTGCTGTTTTATGTATTATGTGAAGAATGAAGAGGGGTAGAAAGAAAAACAGTTTTGGCAGAAGTTGCATTATTATGGCAGGATAAAATAGAAACTAAGAAGATTTTTGTTTTATTGTTTATAGTTATTGCTTCTCCTTAACTTCTAGAAAATGCATTCTAAATGAAATCTTTCTTGGAATTTTCTTTTTCCTAAGAAGCATAGGACCTCTAAAACATGCACAACAATTATATAAACAATGAGAAGATAGATTAATACAGATTCCTAACACAATGCTAAGAAACACTTGTTATTATAGACATGATGCCATATAATCTGATATAAAGAGAAAAGGAAGAATCAGTTTTTAATATTTAGGAAAGAAAAACATCATATTATATTATAAAATGTGGTTTATCAAACATGCACAAATTATTTAGACAGACTCATGCATTTTGTATGAATCTAGAGCAAAAAAAAAAAATGTATTTTTAGGAACGTCTTGCAAGAGAGCACAGAATTTTAAATGTGAAGACTATAGTTGACTACAGTTGTGACAGAGATAAATGAAACCATTACAGTAAATGGCTATCTGGAATCACATGTATGAAGTTCAAGTTTTGCTTATGGTTAAAAACTATATTTTTACAGTCCTTACACTGTGGCAAATTATACAGACAGTTACAGTCTATGCTTGTTGGTACAAATAAGAGATTTTGAAATTGTTC